ATAACCAGATAACCAGGCAAGTGTGAAGAACCACAATGATTTTTTTTTGCCGGAATACACTAACGCAATTAGTTTTTTCTTTAATGAATTCGATGCCCAAATTTCTCCATTTTAATAAATCGCTCTGGAACTGTATGTATTTAGGTATAAATTTGTCTATTTACAGATTATATAAAAGGTTGAATTGGTAGCATACTAGGGTGTTCAATTATTAGCTTTTTTCCGAAAACCCAGTTTTTGAGTTATTCAAAAAATCGTAATTTGAAATTTTTCAAATAAAAAAAAAAAAACGGATAACAATAGAGTTACTCATACTGTTAGTCAGCAATCATACCAAATTTAAAATTTGACTCCTCCAAATTGGCTTTAATTTAGACAAAAGGTAAAATAAGTTCGAAGTATTTTGGATTACAAGTAAAACAGAAAAAATAGGGAAAAATTCACACATCATCGTGTTTACCGGTCGTAAGAATAGATCGCTAAAATAACCGTTCTTTTTTCGGGAAAAACTCGAACATGTAGAACCGACTGTCCTGGAAATGAGAATACGCCATCCTCTGAACCAAACCGACTACACAAATATAGTATATTATAGGTAGGCCATTCATCGAGAACCAATCAACATCTTCGTCAACTCTGAACTCTTGAATATCATCATCGGAGACCAACGTCGCCTATAACAGAAGAAGAGCTCAAGTTGCTTCGTGATACTCCCGATAAGATGCCCGGACTAGACCAGCCACCCATTCACATCAGCTTATCTAATATCCCTCTTTCTACGGTCTATACCCGTTGAATCTGGGCTTTACTTAAGCCTGCCGTTAGATAAGAATGAAGACAAACTGTAGCCTATTCATTTATTCGGACAGAGTATAGTAAGCAGCTTAAACTAAAAATATATTTTAATAAACCAGGTAAAAACCCGGTTTATACGATTGTGAAAATCCGGTTAACTCGGTATCAAGATTAAAAAAAAAAACGCCTGAAAAAAAAGCGGTTGTAACCGGTTTGGAAAAACCAAATCAATCACTGTCGTGAATACCAATGTGACTATGTCCTGTCAATACACGCGCCAAAATTAAGAGCCGCGGCTTTATCAGCTCAAAATGAACCATTGGCTATCTCTGGTTCTTTCTCGGCCAAAACGACATTGCAGTTGTACATACCCTGCCTTACGCCCAACGTTCGCTAAGCTAATACGGAGCCCATCTGTCTAAAAGTAGTCCGCATGGAGTCAAACCCAACGGGACTTGCATACAACACGAAACCGCATTCCTCCTATACATAAAGTATGACCGAGTACTCTGGTCTTTCATACTTAACTCCCGTACACTTTTCTTAAAAAATGTCATTGGCATTTTGTATTCGTACAGATCCACTAGGCAATTTGCGTATAGCATTCGCGAATGTGAAAAATATGACATTCGTAACATCCCTAGTACATACATAAGTTTGTGTGTGTTTATGTACACAATTTTCCTCCGAAGTGTAGTGCATTTTAATAATGGGGCAGTAAGTCTGGCTTGGCTGGGCAAAATGCCTAATTACATACTTACATACATACATATGTATGTATGAATGTATATGTGCGCACAAACGACGATAATTAACCCACCCTGCAAAAAATTGTGCGACTAATCTCTAAAGAGAGTATTCCAAGATTACTCTCAATCGGGTACAATAGGGCATTAATTAGTCGCAACTAGTCTCATACGGGTACTAATGGAGATCAATTAGTCTCGACTCGTCTCTTATGGGTATAATTGGAGATCAATTAGTCCCCAACTCAACGCTAACGGGTACTATTAACGATTTAATGATATGTACGCACTTAGTCAATGCAATTTCATGTGCGGCGTTGGCACGCAGGGAGAGTATTCGCCTACCAAAACTGAGCACCCCGGTTCGAATCTCAGCTGGCTCAAATTTTTATTTTTATTTTTATTTTTTAAAAGTGACTAGTCGCTTTTTATACCCGTTCGGGTATAAAGGTGAACAATTAGTCTCTTCATAGGACATGCTCGAACAAAAGCGAACAGTTCATTCCATATAAAGAGATCAAAAGTGGTATTAGTCGCATGCTCCTTTGCGATTGCTCCCGGAGTCATCCCGGATTAGTCCCATTTTTTGCAGGGCAGCTACCCAGTTGGCAGTAGTGAGCATGCATAACACCGCATCTCAACCAATTGGTGTTATCAACGGCAACATATTTAAGTAAGTATATTTATAGGTATGTATGTGTGTATTTGTACAATATAATTTTATGTTTGTCATGTTTACCACTAATCTTACTTACCGTAACATATTACATGTGAACATATACGTTTTTTATATACATACAAACATACAAATATATATTATGTAGTATAAGCCGCAATGTTGATGTAATTGCAAGTGTTATATATACATATGTATGAGCAATTCCATAAAAAATCAACGTTAAGCTGATGTTAAAAGTTAGTTTAGGCTAACTGCATCCCTTGCAATGATAAATACATGATTCAGTGCCAGCGGTCGGTATACGTTGCAATCACCGTTACGTGGACATTCAATCCAACGGATACTTTTGATGTGATCCGTGTATGGATGGATATTCTCATGAAATAAACTGCTTCTCCGAGGGTAATCAGTCAAAAATGCAATTTTCTTGATAAATTTCATAATCAGTCAGAAGTTGAAAATTTGTATAGGTCGTTCGATTGAAAAATATTAGATACCGGACGGGCCTATAGATGGGCTATAAGGTTTTGTTGTTGTTTTTTTTTTTTAAAGGGTTTCCACTTGTTAAAAAATTAAATTGAAATTATTTAATAACCTGTTTAAAAAGTCAAAATCAATTTGATTTGCAGGAATTAGGTGAGCGAAATATGTATCACAATATAGGTGTCAGACAATGTTGCCAGTTTTTTTTTCAAAAACTGTAATTCTCCAAAAAAAAATATTTTTAACAAAAAAAAAACTATAATTTTAGTGCACAAAAATAACAGGTTTTTTGATTTTCTCTTTCGAAAAACAAAGTAACGTACTTTTAAATAAAATAAAAAGAGAAACAAATGTTCTTCGTTTCCGTGTATTCACTTTGGGCTTACGAAAAAATTTCGGGTGAATTTGATTTCGTTCGAAACTGAATATTTTTGTTTGGAATACCGTAGGCTCCTTTTTTTTGTTTAATTATATTCTACCATGGTGGAATTATATCTGGTGAAGTAATTAAAGCGAGAAAAAGCGATTTTGACATCGGCCTATTTGAAAAATTGTCTACAAAATTTTACTATAAGACAGCCAAATGTCTGAAAATAAAGCGACATAAAGCGAAATCCCCGAGATGCTTGGCAAAGTCTTGGCGAGTCCCGAAAATCCCGAGATTCTTGGCAAATAATCCCGCTAACCAAAAAAGCTGATGCGTCTAATGTTGCCGAGATCAACATCGAGGCATGTTATTGTGGCGTGATGACCGGCTAAAGTTTCAATCACGTTTCGGTCCCTAAACCAAGTCAAAATAAATAAATCCAATACACGTTTGAAATTAAGCAATAAATTGATTATAAAATTAGACCTTGAATTTATGCATAATAAATTGAAAAAAAAAACATTACATTTAGCGGCCAAATACACAAATTCATTCTTTGATATTTCATAACGCGCAACTGCGTACATGAGGCGACCAATGGTAAAATATAATGGAAACTGATGCAACACTAAATAGTATTAATCGAATGCAAATATGTATATACATATGCATAATAATATTTCAGTTCAACTGCAAATTATTTCGTGTTCGCATAAGAATTGCTTTTCGAAATAAATTATATTTTACTAT